ACATCCTCATGCCGGGGGACCTGCATGTAACTGACCTTTTGTAAAGTACATTTCCCAAACACTGCCGCCGCAAACTCGGTGCAGTCAATACCAACCGCTACAAAATCAGTGCAGAAACATCGCCACACTGCGATGTTTACTCCCATCACTACCGCTATTTCAGTGCTTTCGTTACCAGTCAGATTCAACCCAGAAGAGGAACAATTCAACCGGCATCTTTTCGTGTAATGGGAATTCCACCCTGTACTAGTTGCTGCACCGTGTGATCTGTTCTGTGTTGCTTCTACTTGAAGAGGGGAGAGACCAGACCTGAGAAAACTAAACCCCATGACAACGTACTTCTTCCGTCCTGTTGACCTGCACCACCATGTACTGGACTCAGGTGTTGCCTGAATCTTGTTGCAGGGGGAAACGATCAGTCCATTGGTACTACTGGGGGAATACGTCTGTCGAGGGGCTTAGGACTTGCCATAGAGGGCGCGGGGACGAGGCCGGAACGCGCGCTAAAGTTCAGGATTGTGGGTTCTTCCGACAAACGCACTCTACCAGCTTCATCTACCAAGGGACGCAAACCCGTCCACTGAAGACCCCAAACAAAGCCTCTTCCACCGTTATAGGGCGAAGGGGGGGCCTGGGCCCGGGTCTGCTCGCGCAGACTCATCCCCTGAGAAGTGAAGTGAAGTGAAGAGAGAGAGAGAGAGAGAGAGAGAGAGAGAGAGAGAGAGCGAGAGAGAGAGAGCCCACGGAGCGGGAGGCAGGGACTGCCTGTCTCCCACGCCCCTGAGCAAAGCAAAGCAAAGAGAGAAGTTGCCACACAGACACCAAGACCGGTGCGCACACGTGCGCAGGGGCATTCGTGCCTCCTGTCCGAGTGCAAGCAAGAAGTTGCCTCATCATGGCCGCGGAGTTGTTTGTCGCACGTACTAGCGTGCTTGCCAGTGCTTGCCGTCAACAGACGGGAAGCCCACGCGGGGGCACGCCTTCAAGCCTGGTGCAAGAAAGGAAAGCAACTCCCCACCACAGCCCCGGCGAAAGACATAGAGATGCAAGGAGCAGAGAAGTGCAGGTTAAGATCCCGGACGTCATTTTGTAATTTGGTGTTCAAATCAGGCAACCTGACCGAAGCAATGGAGAAATATGGGTGAGTGAGATATATGCTGAAAGCTCTCCCCGTCATTGTTGCTCGACGTCGCAGGAGTAAGTACATTGAGTGTTTCGCCACCCAAAGTCGTAAGCTAGAAAGACTGGGTATTTAGCCCTGTCGTCGGGGTCAGGGAGTTGAGACATGTTGGATCGTTGAGGCCAGGCAGACACACCCACACTTTACATCAAAATGAGGCGATTGCTTTTGAGGGAAGGACAGAGGAGCTTCCTGTCATGTCAGAGTTCGCTGCCCTGCCATCTTGTCTGACGCATTGCATGTTGCTTTTCCGAAGCTTGTTTGCTTCATTTGCCTACTTACTCTTGCTTCTCGACTCTTTGACTTCGTCTCCCACGTTTCCGACCAGTGCCCCGTGCCGCCAAGGAGATCAACGAGATGGCATCGCAGGACAGGGCAAGCAATGATTGAGTGACGAAGATTCCTTCGGATCTAGTGCATCTAGAAGTACCGCAATGCGCAGTGGACACTCGAAAGCACAGAATCGCGAACTATCCTGGTGCAAGAGCTCGTGCAGGAGTCTCTAGAGGCAGCCGTGGACATACTTCACAACATGCAGCGCATCAGGAAGAATGTCAAGGCAAAGAAGATCTTCACTGCACAAGTATGCCCGTGACATACATGCACGATCACTTTCCAAACAGGCTGTCGTCATGCACTTGGAGGGCGTGTCTGCGCCAGCACAATTCCACAGCTATGCACTTGCAAGTGGCACCTTCCTAGTGGGACTGCGGGCTATCAGCACCCTGGCAGATCATCCTGTCCATCATATTCTGAGCAATGATTCTCGGTAAACTCTTGTAGACAACAGCGTCGTTTCTGCGAAACATGCTTCGCGTCAGGTGTGCCAATTATTTTGGCAGCTTGGGGGAGGATTTCAGGACCATCTTGGAACCTGGCCTTGGCTTGCGACTACCGTATTGCTGCTTTGGACGCAGATTTCGTGCTGCCCATTATTTCCCCACCCGCAGCCCGGCACAGAAGCTTTGGGCAACAGTTCATGTTCGGCAACTGTGGGATGTGCAGGGCTGCCTTTCCCCTGCAAAGGAATGCCTTGGAGAGTTGGTGGGGCAAGCTGTGGCAGCTCAGCTGTCCATCAGCAGCGGCACTCTCGACTCACAGGGCTTGCAGGAGCTCGGCATTCTGAACCAGGTGAGGCCTAGCAAAGCCACGGGCTCAGCGGGGAAGAGTCGACTCCGAAGGTGATGAATAGTTCGCACGGACGCACAGCATGCCAACCGCTGCACCCAGGACGAGACATGCCGTGCGGCCACTGAGCTCGGCAAGAGAATTGCTGGATTCCCAGGCTTCTCGGCATGCACGATGCACCTCCAACTGCAGCGTAACAGCTGCCGCGTCCTGGTTTCTTGGGCCGAAGCTTCCTGTAAACATCCCTGCCGTTGATCATCATGATCATCATTATCAGCATCCCACCTTTCGGAATCGAAGTCGGTGGTGCCACATGCATGGCTGCGTAGCGGTTATGTGCCGGCAACATCCAGTGGAGCGCCGAGGCAAAGAAACAACATCAGCATCAAATCAAGGTCGCCGCAGCCATCACCACTATCTTAATCATCACCACCACCACCATCATCATCTCGATCGCCGCCAGCATGAATCACCGTCGTCGTCATCACCCTCATCACAAGGCGTATTTGAGAGGCACGAACCTTGACTCAGGCCTGATGGGATGGCGTCTTGTCGGTTAAGGTAGGCGTGTGACGGCTCAGGTATTGCTTGCCGCCAGACCATGAGTCTTCTGAGCGTGCCGCCTGTACGATACATTTCTGTCGGAGCTAGCAAACTGCCTGACCCGGACCTGTTCGCATAGCTCGCCCACCTGGTCTCACCCAGATCCACCGTCCCATCGAGTCTGTTTAAGCTAGTCAGTCGTCAATGCAACTGTGCTCACTGATACATGTTTGATGCAAGTTTTGTCCTGATGTCACCTGCGGAGCGTGGAGCGAGGCACTACAGCAGTCAGAGCTACCCAGCTGCTCTTCCGTGCAAAACGAGGGGCTATATACATTCGACGGGTCACACGGGCCAGAACATGCAGATTCTCGAATCGTTCGTGAAGCGGTATGAGATCAGTACTGTATGAGCTTGCTTCGTTTGCAGTTTCGTGGGTGTCTTCAGAACCAGACGTCACTTCATTTCTCGTGTCGTGCTCATTCTGCTGAACGGGGCAGCTTTGCCTTGCGGGCTAGACGGCCCCTCACGACCTTTGCTTGCCCTGGATCCATTGGCTCTCAGGCCGCAGCAGCAAATCTCAGTCTCGCCTCGCAGCATCAGTTCGCACACATGGCATGGGCATATAAGCGACGTGAAAAAGCGCAGGTGGCACAAGGCACGTTTGGATTGGATGCAGCTGTTCGAGACTTTGGCGCATAGACTGTGTGCCTTGTCTTGCTTCGTGAAACGGCAACCTAGTGTGGGCCTGCCACTCAGCTGACTGTGCAGTTGTTGTAGGTGATTGCAAGTGATGGAAAGAGGATGAAGAGCGAGTGTGCTGCACCCAACAGGGCCAGGTCGCTGAGGCCCTGAACCATGCATGCCGCAGTCCCGGGCGGCATATCTCGAAGTTCGTGGAGATGCTCCCCATGCAGATGCCTGTGTGTTCCACGCTGCGCTTCCCTTCAAATCTTGCCAGTGGGCGCATGTTTCTCGGTAACCCTGGCGCGACAACGCTCTCGTTCGAGAGGTTGGATAGCAGCAACCGGAGTGTGGTAAGAGCCAGTTCAAATCGTAAGTAAGATCCCGAACGAGTTAAGTTGTAGCTTGGAAGTCGCTTGATGTTGAGTTTTGGTGCAAGGTTTTGGGGCTATAGGCCTTAACTCTAGGGTTGAGCATTATCGAGCACAGACGATTTCTTCGAAGGTCGAAGGTACAAGGAGAACCAAAATCATCGTGTACTTCGGTGCACTTAAAACCACAACACTCAAAAACTTCCCTTGCACTGCTTGCTGACCCCGTTTTTCGGACCTTTCTTTGCAAAGTAGTTCAACCCTTCGCTCTAGGGCTTCGCACTTAACCGGAACCCGAATTTTGATCTACAACCATGAAAGTCCTGACCCGCCGAATACTGGCCAGCAACATCACCGGACAACTCAAGGAAGTGGAGGCTTCCCCGAACGAAATGAGACTTGTCACGAGATGCTGCCGACGGTGATGACGTTAAGATTGCTTATTCCACCCTTACCCGACTGTTCCTCATCCCAAAGCCCTGGACTCGGCTGTGATGCCCGACAGAACATCAGAAGATTTTGTGCGGACGAAGGCCAGAGATAGTTTCATGAAGCCGTCAGACTTTTTCAAGCGAAAAAAGGCTGTACAAAGAGATACATATATATATATATATATATGTATATATATATATATATATATATATATATACGTAATCTATTGCCACGGACCAAAACAACAGAGACATATACTTACATCCATGTCTAGCATTTAGGGTTCTGCATTCGTGAGAGTCCGGTTGTAATGGCTGGTGTAGCGGTTGGAGATTGATGCATTTTCGTCGTGTTGAGAGTTAGATTTTATGAGATGCAGCCAGGCGGGTTGTGGATTCAACGTTTTGGATATATCGGGGTTATTAAGATTGCGTCGGGCATGCGGCACATGTAAAGGGGGGATGTGTTGGTTCGTGCTTCACCTTTCGGGTGCAGTGCCTGCTGTATTCTGCTCTGCGACAGCATGAATGAAACCATGCCAGACGGTTGCAAGTGGGCAGCGGGCTATTCCTGATTAACTTTTCATCCTGCTAGGGCCTCGGCACCAAAGGCGGTGGTAGCCGCCCCGTGAGCTTCGCGCGCACTGGGGACGATGCAGGATGAATCGGGAAAACTGGCAGTTGGTCACTGGGTGAGAAGCCGCATGATCCGGGGAAGCTTGTGTGGTCCTCTTTCCTAGCAGTGCCCTTTGGGAAGTCCTCTCATGGCCCGAGCGCCCATTGGGAGAGAACTTCATGGCCGCGTCTAGGATCGAGAGTGCCCTCCGTGGCCGCCCATACTCGCCGAAGCGGTGAAGGTGATTAAGTCCCAGGGCGAGTGGGCCGAGCTTTTCTTTTCAGGGGTAGACCCGCCACCACTCTCTGCTTCCAGGCCTTCAGATTTTCATTCATGTATGCTTCGGGTTTAGGGTTTAGGATGCTGCCCTATGCGTCCTTGCTGGTTGATCTGTGGCTTGTTCGGCTGTGGTCGGTCCTTGATTTATTTGTGTTGTCTGGATCACTACTACTATTGCATGGCGTTGTTCTTGTTGTTGTTCGTGGGCGAGATTGCGATAGCGCAGGATAAATAAACAGTAGAGATAATAGAAATACAACTGTGTATACTGTGTATACGAAATAAATATGCACGTGCATGTATACATACGCAGATAAAATGAGTTTATATGATAGTTAAGAATCTGTAAACCAAAACCCGAACCGGGTACAGCAACTGTGTCGAGCAGCGGCGCTTCGCCTCCGCGGGCCTTCGGACTTTGCCTCGGCCCATTCCTTGTGGGTGTATCGGCTCACCCAGCGGGGTTTAAGTCAATTGAAGGGGTTAAGCCCCCAGCGGGGTTTAAGTCAATTGAAGGGGTTAAGCCCCCAGCGGGGTTTAAGTAAATTGAAGGGGTTAAGCCCCCAGCGGGGTTTAAGTCAATTGAAGGGGTTAAGCCCCCAGCGGGGTTTAAGTAAATTGAAGGGGTTAAGCCCCCAGCGGGGTTTAAGTAAATTGAAGGGGTTAAGCCCCCAGCGGGGTTTAAGTCAATTGAAGGGGTTAAGCCCCCAGCGGGGTTTAAGTCAATTGAAGGGGTTAAGCCCCCAGCGGGGTTTAAGTCAATTGAAGGGGTTAAGCCCCCAGCGGGGTTTAAGTCAATTGAAGGGGTTAAGCCCCCAGCGGGGTTTAAGTCAATTGAAGGGGTTAAGCCCCCAGCGGGGTTTAAGTCAATTGAAGGGGTTAAGCCCCCAGCGGGGTTTAAGTCAATGGAAGGGGGAAGCCCCCCAGCGGGGTTGTGTAAGTTAATTGAAGGGGTAAGGCCCCCAAGCGGGGTTAAGTCATTGAAGGGTTAAGCCCCCAGCGGGGTTTAAGTAAATTGAAGGGGTTAAGCCCCCAGCGGGGTTTAAGTCAATTGAAGGGGTTAAGCCCCCAGCGGGGTTTAAGTCAATTGAAGGGGTTAAGCCCCCAGCGGGGTTTAAGTCAATTGAAGGGGTTAAGCCCCCAGCGGGGTTTAAGTAAATTGAAGGGGTTAAGCCCCCAGCGGGGTTTAAGTCAATTGAAGGGGTTAAGCCCCCAGCGGGGTTTAAGTCAATTGAAGGGGTTAAGCCCCCAGCGGGGTTTAAGTCAATTGAAGGGGTTAAGCCCCCAGCGGGGTTTAAGTCAATTGAAGGGGTTAAGCCCCCAGCGGGGTTTAAGTAAATTGAAGGGGTTAAGCCCCCAGCGGGGTTTAAGTCAATTGAAGGGGTTAAGCCCCCAGCGGGGTTTAAGTCAATTGAAGGGGTTAAGCCCCCAGCGGGGTTTAAGTAAATTGAAGGGGTTAAGCCCCCAGCGGGGTTTAAGTAAATTGAAGGGGTTAAGCCCCCAGCGGGGTTTAAGTAAATTGAAGGGGTTTAGGGTTTAGGGTTTAGGGTTTAGGGTTTATTGAGCTTGCTTCGTGTGCGGGGTGCCTTTTTGAGAATCCTAAACTGGGGGGTTTTTTTGGGTTTTTTTGGGTTTTTTTTGGGTTTTTTTTGGTTTTTTTGGGGTTTTTTTGAATTGTTTTGCCTTTGTCCTATTTTTTTTTAGTTTTTTTTTAGCTTTGTGGTATCCGGGTCCTTAATTTTGGGCTCCGGGTCCTCAATTTTAGGTCCGGTCTTGGTGTGGTCCTTAATTTTAAGCTCCGGGTCCTTAATTTGCGGCTCCGGGTCCTCAATTGTAGGTCTTGGTCCAGGGGGTTTGCTAAACCCTAGGGTTTGCTAAACCCTGAATTAGGGTTTAATAAACCCTAATTGGGGGCTTGCTAAACCCTAAATTAATACTAAACCCTAGGTTAATTAACCCTGAATGGGGGCTTGCTAAACCCTAGGGTTTGCTAAACCCTACATTAGAGTTAAATAAACCCTGCATGGGGGTTTGCTAAACCCTAGGGTTTGCTAAACCCTGAATTAGGGTTTAATAAACCTTGCATGGGGGTTTGCTAAACCCTAAATTAGGGTTTAATAAACCCTGAATGGGGGTTTGCTAAACCCTAGGGTTTGTTAAACCCTGAATTAGGGTTTAATAAACCCTGAATGGGGGTTTGCTAAACTCTAGGATTGCTAAACCCTAAATAAACCCTAGGGTTTGCTAAACCTTAAATTAAGAATTAATAAACCCTGAGTGGGGGTTTGCTAAACCCTAGGGTTTGCTAAACCCTAAATGAATGGGGTTTGCTAAAATCTAGGATTGCTAAACCCTAAATAAACCCTAGGGTTTGCTAAACCTTAAATTAAGAATTAATAAACCTTGAGTGGGGGTTTGCTAAGCCCTAGGGTTTGCTAAACCCTAAATTAGTTAATAAACCCTGAATGGGTGTTTGCTAAACCCTAGGGTTTGCTAAACCCTAAATTAGGGTTTAATAAACCTTGAATGGGGGTTTGCTAAACCATAGGGTTTGGAAAACCCTGTTAATGAACCTTGAATGGGGGTTTGCTAAACTGAAAGCCACATTTCCTGGATTTTGGGGTTGGCGTTTTGGGTGACAAATTCTGTTCATAGAATAACGTTTTTATTGGGCCGGAGGGCCGATCTCGAGGTCCCCTCCATTCTGGGCCTAAAATACAAACGGAACTGGTGCAGATTCGGGTTTAAACCATAAAAT